AGGAAAGGAAAGGAAAGGAAAGGAAAGTAAGTTAAGTTAAGTTAAGTTGTTAAGTTAAGTTAAGTTAAGTTAAGTTAAGTTAAGTTAAGTTAAGTTACGTTACGTTACGTTACATTAAGGAAATGAAATGAAATGAAATGAAAGGAAAGGAAAGGAAAGGAAATGACATAGGAAAGAGTTAAGTTAAGTAAAGTTAAGTAAAGTTAAGTTAAGTTAAGTTAAGTTAAGTTAAGTTAAGTTAAGTTAAGGAAAGGAAAGGAAATGACAGAGGAAAAAGTTGTTAAGTTAAGTTAAGGAAAGGAAATGACAGAGGAAAGAGTTAAGTTAAGTTAAGTTAAGTTAAGTTAAGGAAAGAAAAGAAAAGAAAAGAAAAGGAAAGAAAAGAAAAGAAAAGAAAAGAAAAGAAAAGAAAAGAAAAGAAAAGAAAAGGAAAGGAAAGGAAATTTTAATTGGTATATAAATTCCACAAAAACATTAAGCAGCACAACTGTTTTCAACACTGATAATAATAAGAAATGTTTCTTGAGGAGTAAATCAGTATATTAAAATGATATCTGAAGAATCATGTGACACTTCAGATAGAAAACATTTATTTTAAATTGTAATGTTTCACAATATTACTGTTTTTACTTTATTTTTCTTCAAATAAACTTCAAAATGAAAATCATCACAAAATCTTGTCGACCCCAAAATTTTGAACAGTAGTGTTTATATACAGTGTTGAAAAGAAAAGAAAAGAAAAGAAAAGAAAAGAAAAGAAAAGAAAAGGAAAGGAAAGGAAATTTTAATTGGTATATAAATTCCACAAAAACATTAAGCAGCACAACTGTTTTCAACACTGATAATAATAAGAAATGTTTCTTGAGGAGTAAATCAGTATATTAAAATGATATCTGAAGAATCATGTGACACTTCAGATAGAAAACATTTATTTTAAATTGTAATGTTTCACAATATTACTGTTTTTACTTTATTTTTCTTCAAATAAACTTCAAAATGAAAATCTTGTCGACCCCAAAATTTTGAACAGTAGTGTTTATATACTGTGTTGTGGCCACAATCCCATTTTCCAACTGCTAAAATTCATTGTATTGTGTCAGTGGATAACAAGCACATCTGGGGTGAATGCATTTCAACATGCTGCAGAACAGTAGAGCTTTACAGGCAGCTAAAGCAGAAAAACAGTAGAGTCACTGATTCCTCAATGTGCTCTGCCTTGGTGATCATTTCATCTATTTTTATGTGGGCATTGTGGGCAGCAGGACATCCTGTGTTTGCGTGCTGTGCTAAACCTGAGGTAATTCACTGCAGAGACCAAACTGGTTGTGCTGGTGTGCTGCTGGCGATGCAGACGCCCAATTAAAGCTCAAACATACAGCATGAATCATTTAGAACTGTTAATTCAAGAGTTCCCTCAGGCGAGTGAGGAGAGGAACTGCCATGAATAGAGGCTCAAAGCGTCACATAAATGCAGTGAATGTGACAGCTTCAATTAATTCTCTCATCCAGAGCATCACAACTTGTTTTGACAGGAGTTTAGGGACAGAAAGATCTATTTGCTCATTTCTGATCTTTGATAATGAAGAGATGAAGCATTTTACTGATTTAATATCTACTTCTATGAAGGCTATAGACAGTTTCTCTGCAGTCAACATCCTCTCTGTAAACCTAGAGCGACAGCTAGTGGTCGTACTCGTATACTGCAATCTCCTTTCAGAAGCCTGCGAGCCAGAGGCACATATTGACATTTGTTTTCAACTCATTCTCTTTAATCATGTACTTCCTGTCATGTACCCAGCATGCCGCATGGTGTCAAGGTCACTTTTGCAGAGGCTTTTTTGTGGCCTTTTGTTTTGAAGGATGTGGATGATATTTTTGCTTCTGACCACAGATGGGTTTGACTTGTAAGTCTTAATGTTTATAAGCCTCATTCCGTGATTGTATCAGATGGTAATACAATGGTGCTTTGACAAGATAGTAAAAGATCATCATTCTCATGTACCATGATATTTACCTTGCCCATCAAATACATGGTATCAAATACATGAAATACATAGTATTATCATGCCATGTTCAAAAACATGGTAATACCATGATACATGTCAAAATAAAAATATATGGTATAAATATACATAATACTATGTATTTTTGGACAAGTACTACCATGGTACAGTACATGCCTAAAAACAAACGTAGTAATATCATGTTCCATGTCTAGAAATGCAAGGTGTTACTATGGTGCGATGCCCAAACAAAATAATGTATATGTAACATAGTACATGTCCAAAATGGAAACATGCCAAAAAAAAAGCATGGTAATACCATGTTACACACCTCCAAAAACAGTGCTGTTACTGTTACATAAAATGAGAACTATTAAAACTAAAGCTATTGTTAATTGAAATAAAGCTGAAATTGAAATCAAATATCAGGTGAAAAATCTAAACAAAAAAGAAAGAAAACCTTGAAAATTTGAAATCTTGTCTTGCTAATTGAAATAAAATAAGATGAAGTAATAAAATGACTACAGCTAAAACTGAAATAACAATTAATTCAAGATAAATAATAATTATAATTATAATGACAAAAGCACATAACAAAAGTATCAAAATTAGATGTGTAGCCTAACTATCTGAAAACAATAAGCTAAGCTGAAGTACCAAAACTAAAAAATAAAAGTACTAAAACAAAAATAAAAGTTAAATTAAGCTAATCTGAATCTAAAAAAAAGTTGGTAAATGACGTAGCGCAATAGAAAATACAGTCTGTACAGTAGAAAAACCATTACGCCTATGGAGAGTCCCCACAAGGATAGCTGACCAGACATGTGTGTGTGTGTGTGTGTGTGGTATTTCCATGGTTCATGTTCAAAACCATAGAAATATCCGGAAATGTCTGGTTTGAGCCCAAAAATAACTGTGAAACATATCCCAAAAAAAAAATCCCTTAATATGAAAATGTGTTAAAAACAGGGTGCTACCATGGTACTCGTGTTTGTGCTGGATGGACGCCACACTGCTAATGTGCCTCAAAAAGCATCTTCTTGATCTTATATATGGCTGTGATGTCTTCAGCACAGCACTGAAACAGAAGGCCTCTTTTCAAACAGAAAGTTTTAAAAGCTTTTTCTGATTATATTTAAGAAGTCAGCTATTGTGTAACACCACAGATGATGAATCTTCTGATTAAATGTGTAAAATAATTTTACAATAACATATATAAAATATGAAATATTTGTTTACTTATGTAAATTATTTCATTCAAATAACTGCTTCAGTAATTTCTTACAAATAATTCAGGTAAGTAAACAATGCATTGTGTCTCTTCTGTCATGATTTTTTCTGCTATTTTGACTGAAGAAGTTAAATTGTAGATGTACACAGAAGTTTTTCACGATCTATTGATATTCTGTTGCCTCTATTAATGTTTTAGTTTTTTTTTTTATGTGTGTGTTTCTTATTTCTTGGTGTTTCTGAGCAGCAGTGACCATTGATCAGGTGACGCTGACAGTGCTTCCTGCTAATAATGTGGAGAGTGGCACTGACGTGATCTTACGATGTGAGGCCAGTGTCAGTCAGAGCCTCCCCCAGCCGCTGACATACTCCTTCAGACTCCTGCAGGACGATCAGGTGATGTACTCCAAAAATATCAGTGCCTCAGTGATGGAGCGCAGTTTATCTTCTGCCAGGGTGTCCAACTCTGGCCGCTACCAGTGCAGTGTCCACATCTACGACAAGCACAAGACAAGCAACATCCTGTTATTAAGCGTCACAGGTTAGTAACATACAGTAAATGACCCCTCGCTAAGCCCCGTCTTAAAGGGATAGTTCACCCAAACATGAAAGTTTGCTGTTGATTCACTCACCATCAGGCCATCTGAAATGTAGGTGACCTTTTTACTTCAGAAGAATAGTAAGGATTTTTTGCTGGAACTCTGGTGATTCATAAAATTCAAGTCAGTGGCTAGCATCACTTTGAGTCCAAACTAATTTTAAAAAAGCATATCAGGCAACACAAAATTAATATGCTCCTGATGATATATTGAGGTCTTATGAAGCAAAATGATCGGTCTGTGCAAGGTTTTCATGGTTTATCATGGTTTATGTAAAAAGGTCATTTGATTAAGACAAGTTTATTCACTTTATATGCTTTGGCTGCTTTAATAATGTAATTGTGTATACATTATATCATTGTGTGATTATGTAAACAAACTGGCCATTCGGTTATTTGAAACAAGCTCATTGAAACAAACTATCTGAAAGAACTAGTTCATGGAAAAGAATAAGATTTCCCCATTGACTGAGGCTGTGGATTACAGGTAGGCTAATAATTTTGTAAATAATGTTCAGTTTCTTGCACAGACTGATCGTTTCGCTTCATAAGACCTCACTATGTTGTCAGGAGCAATGAGTATTAATTTGGTCTTGTTTCTGTACGCTTTAAAATCAGCTAAAAATCTTCTTTATTATTCTGATGAAAAAAAAAAGTCACCTACAACTTGGATGGCCTGAGGGTGAGTAAATGAACAGCAAATTTTCATTTTTGGGTGAACTATCCCTTTAAAGGCATTACTGACCAATTCTACTTTAGCAACTGTTGTCATCCACTATATTTTCAATAAAGCCTTTGCTCCTTTGTAGGACTGTGTGTTTAAACAAAATATGTTTAGGCCTTTTAACCCTTGAATGCATGAATGTTTCGCCAATCATTATTACATATTCAGAATTATATCTAACTAAATTTTACTAAATCAGGGGCGTAGATTACGCGGGGGACGCGGGGGACGTGTCTATATATATATATATATAACATTTCTGTCCCCCTCACTTCTGAAATGATGGCTACGCCCCTGCTCTAAATTGTCCTAATAGCATAAAACTGTACTGATATTTTAACAACAATTGCATCTGAACCTTTTTAGATGCTAATCTTAAAATGTTTTCGTTTACATCCCCTTCAAAATCAGTATTATGTTTGATAACAGCTTCGTCATCAGATCCACCATTTAATGATGCTATTTGATTATGAACTTGCCCTGCTAGTAAACCGCAGAGCCATGGCAAGATTTGCTGATGATACTTGAGAATTCTTTTGTTTTCTGCTTGCGGTCATCACATAATTTTTTATCAGATGTCAGCAATGGTTTTCATTGTTGCTAAATTGTCTAGTTGATGTGTCTGATTATATTCAGTGGTTTAAACCCATGCAGGTCTTCAGAACCCTATGCTGAAGGTGAAGTCTGACATCATGTCTGAGGGGGAAGACATTATTGCCACGTGCAGTGCACCAGAGGAGACGGGCAGTCTGATCTTCTACTTCTACGAGAATAATCTGGATGTCAAGAGAGTCATTAGTAGCAGCAACTCTGTGACGACCATTCTGACCACGCAGAAGCTCACAGAAATCTACCTGCAATGTGCCTATATGGTTATAATGCACCCTAATGCTGGCCTCTCCAACCAAAGCAACATGGTGAAAGTTATTATACGAGGTAACAGCATATTGATTACTTGAAACCTGTTAATAAAAGTAACATTTGTGTTCACGTTGGGCAAAAAAAAAAGTTTGTCAATGGAATCTTGTCATTAAGATCAAAAATTTTGATGATTCATCTTTCTCTCATGAATTTATTCACATTTTTGTCCAACAAAATGTTCCCTAGAGAGAGAATGTCTCCCCCGATATGATATGTCAAGAAACACAGCAACACATGGGGAAAAAACTGCTAATCAAGCCACTTCGTTGGGTCTTTATAGACCATATACTGTAAATGCACTGCTAATGATATTTTACATTAAAAGTGAGATTAATCTCTTTTTTTTTACAGATCTTGATGCGATCACCCCACAGATAAGTTTCTCACCCAAAGGGAATGTTGTTGAGGGTGACAGAGTGCAGATCACATGTAAGGTGCAATATCCCCCAGATATTGAGTTGTACCTCACTAAAGGCAACATCGTTCTTCATGAATCTCATACAACCTTCACAAAGAGCCTCGTAGTAAGAGCTGAGGATTCAGGGGACTATGTGTGTAAAGCAGAGAAAGGCAGCGTGCAAAAGAAGGCAGTCTATCCGCTACATGTTGCAGGTAACTAACCATCAAGATTTTATAAGAGAAATGTGCATCAGATTTCCATACAATTCAAATGTTCGTCATTCAGGCTGTACACATCACCAACCATTAGGGATGTAAGGATTAACCACGAGCCGGTTGAAAATCGATTCAAATATGTGACGATTCAAATCGATTGAGATGCTAAACAAATCGCGATTTAGTTATGGGTAGGAGTTTATATGAATGTATGTCTGAGGGGAACTTACTGTCTTTAGAAAAGTTTAGATTTTATTTTCATCTTGCCTCTGTATAATGCATATTAAAGTTCATAAGTGCAGCGCTGCTTTGTTAACAGCGGAAACCAAGGAAACGCTTTAAGCGCCACCTGCTGGCAGAGAGTGAATCTGCGTCTCGTTCAGCTCATCTGCTGTTTCGGTTTCATGCAGATATTTTTTATGTATAGTTTCACAAAACTGAAGTCAAACCAGTCTGTTTTTTGCTTCAAATTTCGAAATTATACAATCTAATTTAGATTAAAAACTGCTCATGTTGCATGTATGCAGCATCTTTGTTTGGATCTTGATTAAAATGCAGCGGTTGCCTCTAATTGGAAAGAGCACAGACAAAGCCTTGTTTTGTTTATATGAAGAACACAGGTTTTTATGGCTTCAATTTTAGATTTAGTTAACTACAATAACCCTGGACTGCATGATAATTAAATATTTTTTTCTGAAACCATCAGAACTGTTCTCGAAGCCAATTTTGAGAATGAGCCCAGACCAGCTTTTTGAAGGAGAACGCTTCACTCTGACCTGCAGCAGTACTGTAATCTCCTCAGTGAAGATCGGAAAAGCAGACATAAAGTATGTTCTGCTGAAAGATGGTCGACGCATTTCAGCAGTTGCAAAATACGAAGACACTGCAAGCCCCGCCACCAATGGGCAATACTACTGTATGGCAATGGCTAAAGAAGTTAACAAGACCAGCTCACCACATGATGTAAAAGCTAAAGGTGATGAGTTTATGCTTTTGTCAAAGCTCTGTCATTAGGGGACATGCATATTATCCATATTGTCTTTTTGACTTCTATAACATAGCATTTTTTGTTATTGCTATGTTATAACACAATAATAACATAAGGTGTTTGATAAACTAGCTATATAGTCACTCCCAATGGTGCCAGTATACTACACTCTTAAAAATAATGGTTCCATAAGGGGATTTGTGTGGTGGTGCAATAACATAATCATGTTGGGTTCCCCAAAGAATTGTTCAGTGAACAGTTCTTCTTTTTTCTTAGTGTGAAGAACATTTGAATAAACTAAAGAACCTTTTTCCACTATAAAGAACCTTTTGTGGAATGGAAAGATTCCATGGATGTTAAAGGTTCTTCATGGAACCACATCAGCCAATAAAGAACCTTTATGTTTAAGAATGTAGAGTCGACAGCATGCAAAATGCTGCAAATACTTTTATCTCAATTGGTATGGTTTCTTATGTGCATGCTTTTAGCATGCTTCTCATCTTCCTCCCCTCTTTTCCAGTGCCTGTTTCTGCCCCAGTCCTTCGTGCTGTTAATACGGTGATTGTCGGTAAGCCGTTCAGGATTTCATGTGAGGCTGAAAATGGAACGCTTCCAATAACCTACACCTTACTGAAGACCCGCGTTCCAGTGGCTAACAGGACAGTGGTTGAGGCAGCCAACAGGGCGATCTTTAACATAACCTCCATCAGTTTTCCAGAAGAGATCTATACCTTCGCATGTCAGGCTTTTAACCGTGGGTCATCGTTCAGTAGGACCAGTGAGCCCCTTAGAGCACCTGTCATAGGTAAGAGGACCACATCCTAATACTTCACACTGAACCCTCTGTGTTGCTGCTATTTTTGAATAATTTTGAAATGCATGTTGTTATTTTTAGATGCTGATATATGCTTTAATCACTGATGGACCTTTGTGTCCGCCGGTACCTTTTTAGATGACTGAAACTTGTGTGACATTAATTGTATTCCTGTTCTGCACACCAAAGCCTGCTAGATGAAATAATCACTGTAGTTTACCAAAAGTTTCACTTTCAGAGAAAATTTTTTCAAGCCATTCAAAGTGTGTCATGATACATTTTTGCAACAGACTCGTTGGAATAACATGCCTCTAGTTACATTTTGCAAAACTCCAAAAACATACTTGTACATACAATTCCCTGCAGTTTCCAGCTGAAATGAAAACTAGTAGCTGTAAAACACCAACTTGTATTCCTTTTCACACAAATTATAATTACAGGTGCAGATTATTGATTAATAAAGACTTTTTTTCATGCTGTTCCTTGCACAAAACTATGTTATGACCTCAAAACACTTTTACCACAGTGCATGATTTGTAAACTAACACAACCAGCTCCATATGTATGGCTTTTCTGACATTGTAAACTTGTCCAGTGTCCAGTGAAACACAAGCCATGTTGAAAGAGCTGAATGGTTTATAAAAGCACGTGTTACAGTGTTTTGGTCACCGTTTTGCATCTTTTGTACATCACCATTTATCTGTGGTAAAATCAATGCAATGCACTGCCTCTCAAGCTTTATTTAATTGATGTTCTTATGTTTTATACTAGAGGAAATGATATTCACACTTTATTGCCAGTACTTGTTTTGTTTGCTTTTAACAAATTTAACAAGTCTCTTTTTGAGAGCCATCAAAAAATGATGAATTAATCAATATCAGTGAAACAAACAGTAAATAAAACATGAATGTATGTGAAATCTGACTATTGTCAAAACATACGTTTGTAAAGTTTTTAAATGGTTAGTTCACTAAAAAAAATTAATTCTCTCATTATTTATTCATGTTATTTCCATGGAAGAATCAAAACACACAAAAGTGATCCACAACTATAGCTATATTTCATGGGCCAGTTTTTTGGCGTTAAATAGTACTGTCAGGATTTACTAAAGACGCGCAGTGAAGAATTAGCGCTGAAAAGGCGTGAACACAGTTATTTTTGCGCCTGACCTTATTGAATATGCATTTGTAAGAGTTTCCCTTTCAGACGCAAAAGTTATGGGAGGAACTATGGGAGGAAATGAATCACGCAACACATTTTACTAACGTTTGCACTTGTCAAATTACTGGCATTTGCGCCATTATTTAACGCCCCAAAAAAGCATGTCTTAAACTATTTTGCGCTTGAAATGGCTGCAATTATTGTTGCTAAGAGGAGGCACTGCAGAGAACAGAGAGCATGTGGTAGAAGGGAGAAGGGTTTTTCCACATGTATTAATTTATTTGTAATGCCAGAAGAACACATTATCCAAAAATATAATTTGCCAAGCCATGATATTTTTAACTTGCTTCAGGAAATAAAAGATGACTTGGAACCCTCAACTAGGAGTCACGCAATACAGCTCTATCAAAATTAATTTTTTGGCCTCCGGTTCTTTTCAACAAACTGGCTTCTTCATTTATTTATTCTTTAATTGTGACTACGCTAATTTGTGCTGCGCTTGGTATATTGCATTTGTCGATATGTAAATGAGATGTATGTATTCTTTAATTAGCGCATTGTTAGTAAATTTCCCCTCCCATCGGCGCTGTTTTGGATTTGCGCTCTCGCGCTAATTTGCCCTGTTTAGTAAAACTGGCCCCAAGTCTTCTGAAGTCATACAACAGTTTTATGTTACAGAAGCTGTTGTTATTCAATGATAATGTCACTGGAATCTCATTCCTGTTTACATTCAGTTAAACATGGCATGACATCGACTCCAAACACCATTGGCTCTCGCAAGTGTTGCATTGAATATGTCAAATGGTGAATCGGATTTTGCAACAGAGCTCATGATTTTCACTGAAAGGTGACTTCAGAAAACTTATGGGCTTGTATTATTATACTTACATAAATAACAACAGAATTTAAACTTTTCTGTCTATCAGTACCCGTTTCCAGGCCAGTCCTGGAGCCAAAGGAGGTTACAGTCACAGAGGGGTCAGATCTTACCCTCATCTGCCGTGTACAACAGGGAACTTACCCCATCACCTTCACCTGGTATTATAACAGAGTTATGCTCCTTTCCTCCATCCAAGAGGTCAGATCCTTAGAAGGAAAACATGTCGTCAAAGCCATCGAACGAGACCAGAGAGGCGACTACTACTGTGAGGCGTCCAATTACGCCTCTGAAACCAAAAAGAGTTATCCAGCCAGAATTGGTGGTACGTTTTTTAATACAAACACCAGCTTACCATTTGATCACTCTAAAGTCATAGTAGAGCTTCTATTGAACTGCAATGTTTACTCTGTTCAAGTACACAGATGCAGGTGATAAAGTTAGTTGACCTGAAAGAGTAACTGACAGTGAAAACAGTTTCAACTAATGCTACTCTCACTAAGCTCACATTGCGACAATGTTGAGAACTTGTAATTGTGTAGAGTATGTTTCTGGCCTAAAAGTGAAAATGTCTACGGAATAAGTTTTTGAAGATGTCCAAGTGTCCTTTCTGCTGATTTGTGTGTGTGTTTTTTATAGTCAGTTTAGCACTGTGGAAGAAAGCTCTTATTGGAGTGTTCTGTATCTTGCTTTTGGTGGCTATCGTCTTAGTCCTGACAGTCTTTTTTAAGAAAATGTCCCATCCACGCAGAAAAAAGCAAGCAACTGAGTTATCAGTGTAAGATGCCTCTTCGTTTCTGTTTAACATCTACATCATTTGTTATGTCTTATATCATCATTTGAAGGTTTCTTCCATTCTGTTTGAAAATGCTTTCTTTCTCAGAAAACCTTCAAGGCCCAAATCAGGTGACCCAATGAGAATAAGCCTTACTCTCGACATTGAAGACAACACCGCTATCAATGGTAACAAATGTCCTCATCCTTGTCATATGAATATTAATACAGTGTATTTGGCTATTGTTTAAGCTGTTGTGTGTTCAATAAATCCTAAAAAAAAAAGTTACTTTGATCTTTAATTAGACTACCGTCAAGTCTGGTCCACGTAGATTAAAGTTTCTGTTTCAATACAAATTGGGTGTAGTGATGATTTCCATACAAAATCATATTTGATGTGTAACTAAAATTTGTGCATGCAGTAACGCAAGTAGAATTACAGATGCATCTCAATAAATTAGAATGCCATGGAAAAGTTCATTTTTAATACACGAGTTTCACAATTTGAGTTGAATTACTGAAATAAATGAACTTTTCCACAACATTCTAATTTATTGAGATGCACCTGTATTTGAGCTGTATAATTATCTAAATCCTCATTTCTTAAGTAGGACTACTTTTTCTAGGGGAATGAACTTCTGGTTTTGCATTACAAATGTAATTCCTGTGGCGTTTGTTACATGCAAAGAGCACTATGCAGAGGTGTGTTTCCCAAACCTATGCTCGCAAGTTCTGTCATTACCAATAGAGTTCAATGGAATTTGCGGCCATAGTTAGCTAATGATGCTTTTGGGAAACACACCCCCGATTGTTATATAATATCTAGTGCTCTCAAAATTAGTTTGTTAATGCAGGTGATTAATTTTTCCAGTTCAATGGCATTACTACCTGTTAACTAAAGAGCACAGGTAGCTAAATATTACATTTATTATAATGGGTTTATGTGAAGATTGTTTTAGTTTCACTTAAATTAGAAGCTGTTATTTTTTGAAGTCAAATAAATGTTCAAATTGATAGCTCTCAATTATACTGTAATGTTGAATGACTATAGTCAATGGTTAAATATTAGGATGAAAAAAAACTTTCATAGAGACATCAGTAGCAGTATTGGTGTCACTGATACTCACCTTCAGTCATAAAAAAGATGCCACTAAATGAATATTAAAAATATACTGTCTTTGTGTTGTTTCTACATTAATTTGAAGATTGCATGTGAAATTATTGCAATATAAAAGTATATTTAAAAACGTTAATGTTAAGTTGGATTAATTGTGGTTAATTACAATTAATTTCAGGAGGGAAAAAAAGTGTCATTAATTCGGTTTTTTTTTTTTTTATCAATTGACAGCACTAATAATATCCCTTTCTGGTATCTTTGTGTGTTGGGTTGTTATTGCAGTGGTGTCTAATCCTGCTCATGGAGGGCCACTGTCCTGCAGAGTTTAGCTCCAGTCCTAATTAACCAAATCTGAACTAGCTAATCAAGGTCTTTAGGATTGCTAGAATGTCCAGTGAGTGTATTTTGTGCAGGCTAGAGCTGACTTTTATAGGACATTGAAATGGACACCTCAGGTTTATGGAAATGACTGAATGATATTCTGAATATTGAATCATATTGAAAAGTCTCTAAATGTTGAACTCATATCTTGTTTGTTGTTGATATCTTGTTTGTTTCTACCTCACAGGAACTCCCTGTGTGATGGGCAGGAATGTCTGGAGTGAAAATGTATCTGGCTCAGGTACAGATTTTAAACAGAATTATGCCAGTGAGATGTGAGATCATCACGTGACACCCTCTGCTTGATATTTTACTAGAATCTGACGATCATGCTGATGAAGACTCTGAGCTGGTTCAGCCACAGGAAGTGGATCCCAGCAGAGGTGAGTTGCAGAGAGTGAGTTTCAAAGATCTTCAACAGTCAATGAATCCCTCAGATGGCATCTTTGTGAAAAATCTGTCAGTTATAGCTGGATATTGAATATTTGTTCTATTGAATCATTGGTATTGGTTCCGTGTGAAATGCTGTGTCAGAACTCTGTTTACATTTTCTTAATTGTTCGCAATTATTTAACAAAAAATGTAAGAAAGAATGTTGGTTAGAGTTTTAATGCTGATGTGTCCAAAATGTGTCCATATTTAGAAGTTCCTGTGACGAAAAGCATAGAGCCCGAATACAGTGTCCAACACACAGAGGTCCAGGTGTCCACACCAGGTGAGCTCAGATCTTTGAATCACGCAACCCTCCACTTTGAGCATGACCATAACAGGCAGTAAAAGTGTCCAAACTGACATTGTTAATGAACGTGCGGTGTTTTCATCATGCATGAGACGCCAGGTGGCTGTTTCCTGCGCTGGTGGGAAAGAGCTTCCTGTTTTCACAATGGGCCCTGGAGCCTCATGTTCCTCTGCCCAACGACACAGAAACTCGGCTATTGTTTCCTCAGCACAAATAAACACTCCACAGTCCCTTTTCTCTAGTTGATTAATAGCAAGACCTCTTGCTAATCATTGCGGTATGCATGTGAAACAATGCTGAAACATAGCAGAGGTCACGCTGAAATGGGTTTTGGCATGCCCACATATTGCCAAACAATAGCTGCACCTGGAGGGAAACAGATTACTTACACAGGCACATTAGCATGGCACTAACACGATAAGCCTAAGGCGGGCACCGCACTCCTCTTCCTTGGGAGTTGATTGGAGTTGGTTCAGGAAGTTGAGCTGAAGTTATTAAATATTCAAAAGTTAAAAAACATTTTCCACTGCGGCTCTTTTGTGACGGTGGTTCATTTGTTTTTTGTAGGAGTTTCGGAACAGGCTGAGGGCGTAAGTGATGCACAATGTTGACACACAGACACACAAGCCCACATATAGGTATGTACAAATAGTTTTGCAACAGGGAGGCCCTCTTGTGGAAGAAATGGATGCCACAGAAGAAATCTCTATATGCTGTATCTGATTTGGTCAGGCTTATAAAGACTGTCAGGAAAGTGTCAAGTCATACAAAACCCAAAGAGGAAAAGTCTCATTATCATCACTGTATTACAGTAAAAAATAATTAAAATAAATAATTTTTTAACTAGAATCAGCATAATTAAGAGCAGTACAACAAAAAATGCCATGATAAAGAAATACTTTATATTTGTGTTCATATAGTAGTGATGAATATGAAAGTCAGACTTTTTTTCTCATTAAAAGGTATTGTTATTTTTTCCCCTCATTATGAGGTTTATCATTAGGGGGAAACATGCTTAATTATCATAAGCATAAATAAATACTTTCCTACAAAATATGGGGGAAAAAACTAAAGCAGCATATATTGTCCACAGTTTTATTTCTGTATTAATTTAGACAGCCAGGTAATTAAAATTTAAAAAATAGCTTAGAACACAACTCTGCAAGCTATTTTGTGAAGTTTGTTTGTGTCTTTCTCAGCAGGCAGCTCTGGAATATGCACAACTCAACAACAGTGAACAAGAACCTGCATAGAGTCTCAACACTTACACTTAATTTATTCAGTTTCTCCACCACCAGAAGCTGATTTTTATTCATGATGTACTGACATTGAATATTTTGCTTTGTTGTTATTATTGACATTACTTTGTGGCTTAGGTTGTTTTTTAAGTGAGTAACATTTTGTTGTGATGTTTATAAATGAGAGATTAAATTCTGAGCAGTCAAATCAAGCCTTTGGCTGCTTTTATTTGTTTTTCCTCTTTGGTGTGTTTTTTTGTTTTTTTTTTGAGAACTATGAGGAACCGGAAAGACATTTTTGCTTCAAGAACATGAAGGAGGCACTGAACCACTGGAAAGAGGAAGTCTTTTAAAGTGCAGCCACTCAAAAGTGTCCTTTTAAACATTGAGGTTCAAAAGCCACTGCAAACTTTTTAAATAGCAGTTGAAAATGACTTGGCCCCTAGAAAAAGTTGTTGTAACTAGATTGCAAGAATACGTAGTTCTTATTAATCTTTTTTTAAAATTTCACTCAGGTTTTCATTCTCACCATTGACTGATTACTGTTGTAAACAATCTGAGACTAAGAACTAAATGCAGTCATTGAATCTATGTGCCATTACTTATGGTATACCACAGGGTTCTATTTTAAGACCTCTGCTATTATTGTTGTATTATAAAAGTTAACTTTAGGTTTTGTATTTAGGCAACACATACATTTTTTTATTTTTATTTATTTATTTGTAAGATGCGCTAGACGTCTCATAGTTCCATCATGCAACATCAGATATGCAGATTCTACAAGCAGCACATGTTAAACAAAGGAAGGTTTGCTTATTTTTATTTAACATATTGTAAAACTAAGTCACTTTTTGTGACTGTGGACAAAAGTGAACTTGTTTTACAGGCCATCTCTGAGTGTCACATAAAATACTGCATTGCTCGTGACACTTCTAGTGTGCTTGGATGGTGCGAGGCTGCTTTAGGGCTCCAATGTGATACTCAAGAGCTTATCAGCATGACTCCCCATTAATCATATGACATCGTGGGTTGTCAGTAGCAATGGCCACCCACTGTGGTTACCCTAGATGAAACAAGGGAGTCCCATAATGGGGTGCCACTTTAGCGACTACAGTTGAATAGACCTTCGGGGATGCCACAGTAACTCCAAGGGCTTTATGAAGGAAACCGGGCTTTACAGAAGCCGTATGCAGTGTGTACACTGAGCTTTTCACCACTCTCAGACATGCACTTATTTTAGGGAGGGGGAACGTCATGTACCTCTGTTTTACTGCCATAAAGTGTCCCTCTCTTGCTCTCACTCGGTCATAACATGAGCCCTGACTCGATGTCGTGCAGAATTCTAGACCTGCAGTTAGCTGCAATGCTAAAATTGGCATGCTGACCCCTGTGAAATGTATTCTGGGAATATGTTGTCTTTCACTTTGCCTTATGGGGTCAGTCCAGAATGCTACTTTATGAATATCTTGCACTTGTGACAAGAAGCTCCTCTTTCCTGAATATACACCCTTCAGAACGGTAACGCAATATTGAATCTAAATGGAAATAAACGGAATGAAAAAAAAGATTTAAAAAATATGTCTTATAAGATAACGTTAAAGGTAATGGTTGTGTAATCTGGTTAGCGTGAAATTTGTATGGTAAGGAGACTGACTTATGCAACTGTTTACTGTTTACAAGCTTGCCAAATCTTTTTCTCAGACTCTGGTTCAACTCACATTGTTACCCAAAATTAAACAGATTTTGCTAGAATTTTAATAAAATAATAAATATGAAAGTAACAGAAAACGATGGGCATATGTATGATTACAATTTGCATGCAAATGAGTGGAAGTGAATGTAACAAGCTCCTAGTTTGCCCACATATTTAGAGTGACACTCTCAGATACCGTCATAATATCCTGTCAGCAAGACACAGGTCATCTCTGTCTCTACCTGTCTCTCATCTTTAGATAACCTTCCACTTCCCTCGAAAAGCTCCTGATGTGATGACCCAATGAGAGAACAGGAAGGTGCCTGGAATAGGCCATCATCCAACTAAAGATGATATCTGTGTTATGCAATGAGCTCGTGTGGGTAGTTCACTCCTCACTAACCTTCACCTGAAGATCAAATTCATTTTCCAAATGGATGAGACGAATAGTTTTAGTTGAAACTAGAACTCAATGTACAGCGGCTGTTTACATGTTATACAATGTTTAGTGAATTTAAGTTAAACCTGTAAAACCTAAAATGTTGCTACCATATTTTTTACGGTGAAGTTCTGGCAACCACAGCTGCCGGTATTTTACCGTAAATGTCACAGATTTTTTTTTACAGTGTACCCTACACACTTTAAGCTGATCAAAATGAATACATGGGCATTGCATGTATTTTGAACAAAATGTATGTGCTTATGAAGAGCATCATTACCATTAATGACAAGGCTTGACAATCCTGTCATTATTGCATTTCTAACATTGAAAAATATGACAAGAAAGCTTTCTTCCCATGTTGTATCTTCACAAATACTGAGAATTAGAATCAGTGTCCCAGATTTCTTTTGCTAATATCCCTAAAAATATTTGCCCATTCCTTTTCCAGTATCTCTGCATGAGTACTTGAGTGTATGGAAACTGGAGGGAGAGTTGTCTTGCACTGCACTACAGATTTTGTTTTGATTGTGAAAATAGGCAGACTTAAAGATTTACGGTGTAAATATTTTTTTAAAGAATTCTGGTAGTACTTCATTTTACAGTCCTGTTATGCTTGTACTAGCGTGTAAAATCTGAAAGATTTTAATGTTTGAAAGAAGTCTGTTATGCTTACAATTATAGTTCAGTAAAAACAGGGAAAAAATGTGAAATATTATTACAATTTAAAATAACTGTTTTCTATTTGAATATATTTTAAAATGTCATTTATTCATGTGATGCAATGCTGAATTTTACAGCATCACCAGTCTTCAGTGTAACATGATGCTTCAGAAATCATCAGAATATGATTTTCTTATTACAGTCAGTGTTGAAAACTGTTTAATATTTTTGTGGAAATGATGATACATTCTGTCCAGGATTCTTTAATAAATAGAAAGTTCAAAACGACAGCATTTATTTGAAATAGAAATCTTATTAACAATTACAAATGTTGTCACTTTTGATCAATTTAATGTGTCCTTGATTAATAAAAGTTATAATTTCCTTCATAAATACATTTTGGTACTTACAATAACTGGGTAATAATTAGGTGTTAACCTTGAACCTACCCATAAACAACCTAACCATAAACCATGTGGTTAAATTAGCCTTATATTAGTCAGTACTGCTTTTGGTAAGTACACTGTACATACATGAAAGTGCATGTACTGTAAAATAAAGTGCAACTGGGTTTCTTAAAAATTGCTCTGTTCTTGGCTGATCACTGTTTTAAATGCCCCTTTATCCCGTTGTGAAGTGTAAAGCCCTAACATGTGTACGTAGCAACATGGCACCTGTTTTGCTGAGTGTTACTCTGATGTTTTTTTCTTTTCTTTTCCTGGGGCTAAATTATCTTACCTTGTACTGTGTCCTTTCCACGTCCGTTTTTTTTTTTGCTAAGTACACACTCATTGGCTACTAATGGCATATGGGTAAAACTCACGCCCCCATTGTGTAAGCAACATAGTGACCGTTCAAAGCACCCACAATTTTTAGAATCGGGAACTCAATCCCCACACAAACAATCATACCATCAAAGCTCTCTCAACCCACCCTATGAAGTCAGCCACACACATGCTCCTGCAACACTCTGAAACAGCTGCGTGGCTCTACTGAGAACTTCAGGCTGTTCGCAAGCTAGCATTCTTCATACCTGCTCAATGTCAGCGCGCCCCCGCTCACATTTGCACAAAACAAACCGCAGGCAAATAATATACTGGTGAGAAATAAAGAGTCAAATCATTAAACACATCATAAAAGGCTTTGAAGGAATCGTTGTGTGAAGCTCTCTGAGGTGGACGTCCTGTATTTTATTTGTGGTTTGTTGTGTTTGGATCTGAGAGAACGAACCAGGGATGTTCTTGCAGTCATAATATCAGCATGAGCTAAGAATGTTAACCCTGCTACAAGAAACTTTTTTTTAACCTTTCTGTTAAAGCTGGTTGATCAAGAAGGAATTGATGGTTAAACTAGCTATGGTTAAACTAAATTAACTATTAAACTAGTTAAGAAACCTGGCTAGGTCACCAGCACAGCAACATCCCATTCTAGTGCTGGGGGTAAATGGTCAGAGAAGAAGGGACTTTTGCTTTCACGCACAGGGCAAGGAGGGTGAGAGGAGCACGGGTAAATCACTGTCTTGTGGCCTATTTTTGCTACACTCCACCATTAAGCTTCACATCTGCCATCTGAGCTAAACTGTGCTCCATTATGAACAGCCCCTAGAGAACCTGCACTAATTCTATAGACTGACTTTCAGTTCCAGGAGATCATCTGTTCATCTGGTGTCTTACGTATAGATCATCTGATCATCTGGTGTCTTACGTATTGCGTATTTTTTTTGTGTATGACATAGTGTCTTAAATAAGTGCTAGTGTTAAAATGATCTTAATATAAACATGTATATCCACCAGAAAGACAGATGTAGTTGATCAAATAATGCCATTTTATACCACATTATGTCATATTATGCACATTTATTGCAGAAATGCGTTGCACAAATTCGAACATCTGGGTTGTGCTGTTCTGTTGTAAATAAATCTTAACCAATGATTCCTAATTGCATCTACTTCCGGAAGGCCAAATAAAGTGCTTTTGCTTTCACACTGAATCACACAGCGTCTCACAGACATGGCTGCATCAACACTACTGCTGTTCCTGAAACCACGCCTTCTTTCTTTGCGTGCATATTTGGGCGGCATTATGCTAATATTTCCACATAGTGATGTAGACGCGTGTTAGAACGAGGCGTTTTAGATAGGTGTGGTTGACTCTTAACTTTTATAAAGAATATCTCTTTGGATTTGAGACTTTAGTCTTTGCAACTTTACAGATCTTCTTTATGCACCAAGAGCTTGTAACACTCCAAAGAGAAAGGAAAACTTGAAATCGCATCATATGACCCCTTTAATGTAATTTCTATTGAAACTTGTGCATGATGTACTTAAAAATATTTGTAATCGCACATTTGTAATGATTGATTTGGAATGATTTAAAATATATTAACTTTAAGTGTAATATCAAATAACACAATAAAGTTGAAAATATAGT